AATTTCTTATATCAAAAATTGGAAATACAGATTCCGATAGTAAATATAAAATGGTCAATGCATTACCATCTGCCATCTTAAATGTATCTTAAAACAAAAGATTGCTCAAAACGCTAATTCCTAATCATCGAATCGTTATCACAATTAACAAATGTAGGTGTGATAGTGACTAATTTCCGCTCTGTCTTTTCAACAAGTAACAAACAAATTAAAGAGTTTAAAAAATACGTAAGTAAAGATATCTATTATTTTGAATAATTCACCTCATGAATGATCAAATTACTGAATGTTTCAAGATATTTTTCAAATTTTAACATAAACGAAAAAATTCTAGCGCTTAAACAATCTATATAATTCTGTGTTAATATAACAATATGTCAAGTGTGTATATCCTCTGTCTCATTCTATATACAAAAATAGTATGTAGTCATACGTATATCATCACTCGATGTAAAATCCAGCACATACATATTGTTTATGCTCTTGACTCACATTGTCTAACATAAATAAGTCAAGCACATGCATATACTGTAGCCCCCCCAGTGGTACAGCGGTATGTCTGAGGACTTACAACGCTAGATACCGTAATGGACATAGCACAGATAGTCAATTGTGTAGCTTTGTGCTTAATTACAAAGAAACATATTCTGCCTCATTCAGTGTAACATCATATGTCCAATGTGTATGATCTTGATTCACATTGTGTATCATAATATGTTCAGTGTGTGTGATCTTAACTCACAATGTGTAACGTAAATAAATCGAGTGCATAGATATTTGGCCGTATACCGTGTAACTTAGCACAGCGTAACACAATACATAGATATTATGTTCAGTGAGTAAATCTTATGACTGATTCTCATTGAGAATATATTTATTAGGGGCATATTATATGCCACTCTGTGTCTAGCATCGCAGCATCATAATAAAATATACAGTGTGCACATTCTGCCTCTCACTATGTATACAGTTTTTCTGTTTCACTCTGCGTAACATACGAAAATGTTTAGTGTGTATGTTTCCTTCACTCTGAGTAGCATACTAATATTTGGAACACCTATATTTTTGGATTCACGCGTTAACACCATGATATGTCTGGTATTAGCATTTTACACCTCGCATAATAACGTTTTTAGTATCTACACCTGTAGTCTCACTTTATATGAAATAATAATATGTCTAGTGTGCACATCTTATATCTTATTGTATGTCCAATGTGTATAATTTTATCTCACTCTCAATAACTTAAAGACGTTATGAACAAAAATATGTTATCTCATTATATGTATATGTTTATTGACTCACTATCCATAACACAATAATGAGTCAAGTGTCTACGTATTCTGTTTTAGTGAGTTTGTGTAGCAGTTTATTCCCAGTGTATACAACTTCTGTCTAACTGGATAAAATAAAACAAAAACACATAATTGGTTTGCACATCTTCTGTTTCTTTATGTGTCATAAGTTTGCTCACATCTTCTTGACTCACTCTATGTAACGTAAGTATATCCGGGATATACATCCTCTGTTTCTTTATGTGTCATACAGTTTGTTCACATCATCTTGACTCACCCTGTGTAATATAAGTATGTTCAGAATATAATATTTTGTTTCATTCTGTGTGACATCATAATGTGTCCAACATGCACATCTTCTGTGACACTCTGTGTAACATAATATGTTAAGCATACACACCTTGTGTTTCATACTATGAATAATATGTTCAATACTTAGACATTTTAACTCTATATAACGCATTAATATATCCAGTACGTAGACACTTTGCCTCATTTTGTATAACGTACTAATATATCCATACATAGATATTTTGACTCACTCTGTGTAACATAATGATATGTTTAGAGTCTATATCATTTTCACTTCTCTGTGTTATATAATTTGGTTATCACGCACATCTTTTCGTTCTTACTTTATATAACAGAATAATATTTCTAGTATCAACGTTTGCTTTCACTCTGTGTAACATAATACTATCTCCAGTATGTACATATTTGTGAATGTACACATGGTGAGTCACTCTGTGTAACATTATAATATGTAAAGATGTAACTCTTTTGAGTAGCATTTTCTAACATAATAATAACATGTCCATATTAACATATTCCGCTTGTTTCACTGTTTGTAACACAACACGTCCCCTTACGTTTTATAGGTGCAACTTATGTGCAGCTTTATGATGTGTTTGTGAAGTGGTACACGAATTAAACTAAAAATCATAGATATATTTTCAGAATTTGTAAATAATTATTGAGATACATTATTTGCTTTCTTTACCTCATTTTTAGAAATGTTTAATGTTATATTAAAATTGCTACAAATAAACAACAAATGTGACTTTGTATTTGTGACTGTATAGAAATCTTGAAGACCTGAAGACACAGAGGGAGCCACTTATATGCTTTATTACTGTTCTTCACCATCTAGATTTTAATTCAGTATAAAAATATTTGACACGCACCACAGTTTCATGTAACATTTCTATTTCCCTTGTTCTTTTTTTATATTTTATTCTATTTTAATGTGAAAATATATAGTTTTGGAAAGTATGATATAATTTTTATTTGACTTAATTCGCTGTGAATCATTTACAGGAGAAATAAGTTTCCATTTACAGGAACATTCACGACAGCCGCTAGTCTTGCTTTATATCGTTTAATAAAAATACTTAACGGCTGTGATTAGTTGTTGTTTGTTAATTTATTCACAACGGGGATAAGTATTTCTTTAACAGAGCATTCACAATCAAAATATGTTTGTACAGAATTTTCTCAGCTGGAGCTGTGAGTCCTTGTTTAGCAAAACAGGGTCAAACCATTTTAAAGTCAAATATTTAAGGCATAGGCGAGCCTCTGCCTATTGAAACTTTCAAAACCAGGAATCTCGTTGATTATTAAATGTTTAAAGCAGCATTAAGTTGGTGCTTGTTTAAAAAATAAAAATAAAAGATAGTGTAGTGAAATATTTACATCATTTGCACGAGGTGTGAATCGCTATTTACAGAAAATATACACACAGAGCCAAGTCGGTGTTTTTTTGTTTTTTAACAATCAGAGGGTTGTGAATAGAAGGTGATATGCGATCATTTTAATGAGGTAGAATGAAATGAAGTGAACAAAAAAGAAGAAACTTCGTTATTCCATTCTACTAAGGCTTAAAAAGAAGAGAGAATACGACAAAATCCAGGTCGGTACAAATGAAATGGAATGCGAGCAGCTTAAAGAATCAAAGAAGAAGAAAGTGAACTTTAAACAACATTAATAGAAAGGAGAAAACGAATCGTGAGCAACATATAAGAAAGAGAGGAAACAGATTGCAAACAACACATATAGAAGAAACAGAAATTATTGTAAATAACTGATAATGGAAAGGAGAACAAACAAACTTGATCAGCTTACGTAAGGCGAAACAAATTCTGAACAGCCTACAATAATAATAAGAAAATAGAACTCACCAAATCCTTTTATCGATTATAAAGTTTTTATTTTCAGAAAAACTGAGTACTCCAAATAAAGTCTACAGACTTACATATGCTAAAATTAGCGGTTTCAATACCCGTGGTGGGCAGAGGACAGATATCTCA